CAATATTTAAAATTTTATTAAAAATTTTAAAATATGCAGGCAAATTTGCCTGTGTTACAATCTAAGGGATAATAAAATAAAAATATATGCTTATCTTGATAATAATAAGCTAAAATCTAGTGATCCAAGTCACTATTTGTAAAATTGACTTAAGTCGACTAGTTGACTTAACCAAGTCAATTTTTATCAAACCGACTTAGTCAAGTACAAATAATTTGTCAGTTTAATGGCTACTATTGTAATATTAATATATAAAAAAATTAATAACTCAAATTTTTAGTTTAAATATATAAATATTCGGGCTAGTATTCATTAAAATCGCTATATATAAGTCGGCAACAATTTATTGTGCCATAACTTTAGTTATCTGTAAATAAGTAAATTGAGATTGGAAATAGCCATGATTGCAATCTGAAACTGAATTTGATTTGCAATATAAGGATATAATACAGATAGAAAAATTATTTATCATATATGTACTAGTATAGCATATGTTATTACATAACCAAACTAACGTGTTTATTAAGAAATTGATTGCAACACTATATACGCTAAAATTTTCCAGCATTACAATTCTTTGAAATTATTATATGTAATTTAATACTTTTACTTTAACTATAGCCTAACACAAGGCTAAACTATTTATAAAATTTTTTTCGAAAAATGCAAACAAATAAAATTGCAATACCATGAGAAATTTATAACGTATATCAAAAATGTGTACAAGGTTGGCGCGTATACAAAATTCTTAAAATTCGTTAAGATTAGGGTCTAGTAATAAATATTAAAATTGTCTAACAAACTTTTTGTTAGAGTACAAAAGATGATTTTCTATGCTAATTTTTGAGCCAAAAGCAATTTTTGGCAGAACGAACATTTATTTTGAATCTCTCTAATCTTGAAATATGGTTCGTAGTTCAGGAGATCTGCGCTACTAACCTTGTGCGCATATTTTTGGTATACATTTATAATATTTAGATTTCTGGAGTTTTTTAAACCTATTCTTACTGGATCTTTTAATCTCTACCAAACTGAATTTCCTGATTCTTTAATTTTCACACATGTGTGAGTTCATTGTTCTTATTTTGAAAACTGTTTCCAATTTATTTTTCTAATATACTTACCGATCTACTCTTTCTCTAATATATTTATTTCTCAAGACCATTCTCCAAAGCAATTATTATAATGGCTTTTATCTCCTGGTGAAGTTGATTTGACCGTTATCAGATGTAATGCTGGGCATAAAAGTGTTAGAATAAAAAGCATAACTTTGTTCATATGATTATTAAAATTTGAAGGCGCTAATCTAAAAAAGTAAAGTGATTGATGGCCAGTTAGCCGAAAATTGAAAATAAAGAAGAGTGTAATAAAACTAAAATAGGTATAATCCTAGTTGGGGCTGTGTTAAGATGTATGTTGAATTTTTGAAATAACTTTGAAATCATAAAGAGAAAAGAAGTTTGAAATTATAAGGAAAAAAGAAGTTTGAAATTATAAGAAAAAAAGAAGAATATTAAGATTAAGGAAAAATTGAATATTTTTAAAGCAAAATATTGCCACCAAAGCCCTTACTTTAATAAATTAGTTATTGTTATGTGTTAGATTAGATGAGATAGAAGTTGATAAATCTTTCTTGACAAAAAAAAAAAAGATGTGTCTAAAATCTATAAAAAGAGAGTTTTTAAATCAATAAAAATAAATTTATTGGTTAGTAATACTCAATTAGCAAACTATAATTTCAATTAACTGTTTGCAAAAAATCTTTCTGCTTATTAATCATTTTCACCTGTCCAAATCTTATTTTCAAATTACATAAATTCTGTTTTGTAAATAATATAATTGTTATAATAGATCAGAACGATTCTACATTCCAAGACGAATCAGAAGATACTTCTGATAGTATATTAGAATATAATTCGGATTCTATATTTGTTACACCTTTTGAATCTTCAGCTTTATATAATGAATATTCAATGTCGTCTTCTAATCTTGAGTGTACTACTTTATTATACACTTCTGAATCTTTATATAGTTCTGAACCACTTACTTTAGATAACCCTGAAAATCTTACTTCACCACCAGATAGTTTCACTTATTCGGATCCTCCTAATATTAATTTTTCTCAAAATACTAAAAAACACAAATCAGTTTTTGCTACATCCAATAAAAAACCTAAACCCAGAAAAAGTTGGGTATGGAAACATATGAAAAAAGATAAATTTATAAAAAAAGAAACAAAATGCTTAGTTCTAATTAAAAAAGTTGAAAAAATAGAACCATGCAGAGAAACTTTTGCGCTTCTTACTAGTACTAGTACACTCAGAGCTTATCTACGTACAGTACATCATTTGTCAGAAAAAGGTTCATTATTGTCATTGTTAAGCATATCTAAATAGCCAGTTTTCAAAAAACCTATTTGTATAGCTCAAAACGATTCTACACAGCCTATATTATTAGATATAATAACAAAACCATCATCATTATCTTCTAAAAAAAAGATAGATTAACATCTAGACTTTTGGCATGGTTGATTGATAATATGCTAGCATTTAATATAATAGAAAATGATAAATTTCACGATTTTGTATATGAGGCTAAACCCTGCTATCAAATTCCATGCCAAGATATATTAAAAAAAAAATCCATGATGCAGTTAACTTTGGAGAAAATAAAATACTTGACCTTTTTCAAACAACTATGAATATATTTTTATTTACACCTGATCTTTGGACCAGTGTATATAAACCATATATTGGAATCACAGCCCATTAGCTTGATTCTGATTTTCATTTAAATCAAATACTTATGACTATCGAAGAATTTCCTTATCCCTATACTGGCGAACACATCAAAGATTGTTTGAGACGTGAGTTTGCCAAATGGAATATCTTAGAAAAATGCATTGCTAGAACAACAGACAATACTTTATCAATAGTTAAAACAATAACTAATCTTGGTATAATTCATATTCATTATACAGCGCACACTCTTTAACTTTCAATTATCGATTCTTTAAAATCTAGTGAAGTAACAAGATTAATCGATAAAACAAAAGAATTAAATAGTTTTTTAATTAATAGGGATAAATACAGAGAAATACTAAAAAATGCACAAGAAGAAATAAATAAAAAAAATAATCGTGCTACAAGTCGTGGACAACTTTTAGAACAAATAGCCACAATGTCTTCCACACGTTGAAATTCTGTATTTGGGCTGTTAGAGCGTCTGTTATTGCTCTATGAATCAATCCAATTACTTGTTAAAAAAATAGTTCAAAATGCTGATCGAGAAATTCGTAAAGATGGAAAAAAATTAGAGGCTTTACTGTTAAATAAAAAAGAATTATTAGGTCTTAAAGAACTTATTAGTTTATTAGAACCCTTTACTCATATAATATGTCTAATGGGTAGTAATACATATCCTACACTCTCTCTTATGCTTCCAACAATTGCAACCCTTCAAGAACACTTGTTTAAACTAGAAAAAATCCTTACCCATCAAGTTATTTGTGATATTAGGGATGAGATCAAGCTTAATATAGCTAACCAATAGAAAGATCCAAAAATAGAAGGATATTTAGCTACAATTTTGAATCCTCATTTTAAAAATCTAAAATTCGCCCCAGAAAAATTCGAAGAAACAAAACAATATCTCAAACAAAAATGATAGCATTAGATAAGAATGAATATTTAGAAAAACAACCAACAGTGAAATCATTTTTAAATTTAGCATCTGTTTTCAACAATACTACTATTATCAAGAAATTCTTTCCAATCGATACAGAATTGAAAACATATTTTGATATTCCTCAAATAGTACTATATGATTCTAACAATTCAGAATATAAAACTGAAAATCTACTTTCGTGGTAGCAATTATACTCAAAAACATTATCTTTATTTGCACAACTAGCTCGTTAGTATCTTTCAATCCCTGCAACCTCTGTTCCTTCTGAACGTTTATTTTTAACAGCCGGAAATGTGTTAACTGATAAAAGAAATAGATTACTTCTTGAAACTGTTTATGATCTAGTTTTTTTAAAAGAAAATAATAAGAATTTCAATATTTACCCAGATCTTGAATAGGCACACCTAAATAAGCTTCAGTACAAATGAAATAATAAATATATTCATAGTTTATAATAGATCTATATTTTCAAATGCTAAGTATGTGTTTTAAATAAAAGTATTAAAATCAAATATTAGACCTATTATAGTGCCCATTACAGTTAACTTTGCTAAATACAATATTTTGTTTAAAACCTTAAAATATAAAGTTATGTATTTTACAACTTATTATTATGTTTCAGGATCGAGTTAAAAGTTTGTGCATTTATATATGCAGAAAAAATATACATTCATGTATACTCTTGCACGTGTAGATTCCAGTTTAATGAAGTATCGGTGTATCACTTAAGCTTTGATTGGTACTATATGTTCACGTGATATCGAAATCGACTTTCGGTTAAAAACCGAAATTTATAATCGACTTGAGTTGACTTAGTCAAGTTGATTTTTAGGATCAACTTGATTCACTACTAAAATCTTTAGTCAAATAGCAAAAAAATTAAATTATGCAAGTAGTTGTTGTATGTTTACTTATAACAACAATAAAAGCAAGAGACTTATATTTGCTTTTTAAATAGAAAAGCAAAAAGAGCTAATGAAATTCACAAAAGTAGTGTATTTAGATAGTATCCATAGGCTAAATCAATACAGATATCATCTTTTTATACTAATCATATAATATCTAATAACTGGAAGTAGATATTTAGTCATATTTTTAATTAGTAAGTTTAAGAAATCAGTTACATTAATAAATTAGCTTGATTTCTTAAAGGTTAAGAATAAGTAGTAGAATTTAGAATATGAATGAAGAAATTAAGATAGTCAAAGAGTACTTTTTTAATAGTACTATATTATTATACTATTTTTATATATTGTATTTTTGGCACAGAAATTTATATTATAATCATAGTGCAAATAAAGATCTATATAAAATAGCTATTTGAGAAGACCTTTGGTAATTAATAAAAACTGAGAAATAAAATAATAAAAAAGCATTAAGGCAAATTACAGAGACAATTAAAAAATATCAGAAAATGAAATATTAAAGCTGCAAACAAATTTGC